GTAAGCAAACTCCTGTCTGCTGTAGCACCTCACTGCTGCCTCAGACTAAGTACTTACATCCGTGGCAGCAAAAGGGTTCAAGTGTGCTTCCACGTTTGCAGTCAAATTTGAGGAAACCCCACTATATGCTTATATAAATAAGTTTGCTGTTAACCATGACATTATATGGTCAACTGATGTAATTGGTATTAAGGCAATTGTTTATATGTATATACAGGCAGTCCCCATGTTACGAACATCCGACTTACGTACGGCTCGTACTTACAAACTGAGGCTATTACTGTGCAGCAGAGGGTCCCAGGCTGCAGCCAAAGTGTACCACCCAGCATTCCAGTAGTTGTAATGCTACCAAGCTCGCGCCGAAGAGGGGTGCCAGCCTTTTCGGGTCTGGTTTGTAGTACTGTGTGTACAATACAGGAAGTTGGTTCTTGTTAGACATGCAGACGAAGAGTGGCCGCCTCTTTTTCCGGATCTGGTACTGTACATTACAAGAAGTTTGCTCTTGTAACTGTCGTAACCCTGTACGTACAGTGTACACGTTTTTTGTCTTCACCCTGCAACAATGCCTCCAAAACAAATCTGATATAAGTGCTGGTGATACAGCAAATAACAGAAAAACCATCACCATGGAAGATAAAGTTGAAATAATAAAGAGATCAGAGAGGGTGAAACTCCATCATCCATTGGCAGAGCATTTGGTTACAGTCGGTCAACAAGCGCAACAATTTTAAAAGATAAAGGTAAAATAATGGAGCATGTGAAAGGCCATACAGCCAATGAATGCTGCGATTATTCAAAGCAACGCACTGTTGACAATTTGGATAGAAGACCAAAATCAGCGTAATATGCCTATCAGTGTTTCTTTAGTGCAAGAAAAGGCACAAACCCTTTTCAATTGATAAAAGCTGCTACAGCAAGTACAAGCAATTGCAATGAAGAATTTGTTGCAAGTAGGGGTTGGTTCAATTGATCTAAAAAAAAGAGCAAATTTGCATAATATTCAAGTTCAAGGTGAAGCAGGGAGTTCCGATGTAAGTGCTGTAAGTGATTTCCCCAATATTTGGAAGACATATTATTGACGATGGAGGTTATTTGCCAGAGCAAATCTTTAATGTAGACGAAACTGGCTTGTTTTAGAAAAAATGAGGACCTATATTTCGAAAGAGTAAAAAAGTGCACCAGGAAATAAGGCATCAAAGGACAGGCTTACTTTATTACTTGGGGTAATGCATTTGGGGATTTAAAGCTCAAGCCTTTGCTAGTGCATCAATTCCTAAATCTGAGGGCACTACGTAATGTCACTAAGGCATTTCTTCCTGTTATTTGGAGGGCAAATTCAAAGGCTTGTGTTACAGTTGTGGTCTTTCAAGAATGGTTTTTGAACCATTTTTTCCCTGCTGCTGAACGTTATTGCTTGGGCAAAAACATTCCTTTCAAAATTCTCCTTCTCCTTGACAATGCCCCTGGACATCCAAACACTTTAGATGACATGCACCCCAATGTAAAGGTAATATTTCTACCCGCTAACACCACATCACTACTTCAGCCAATGGATCAGGGAGTCATAGCCTCCTTTAAGGCCTATCATTTACGGAGGACATTCTCACAAGCTTTCAGGGCTACCGAAAAGGAGATGACCTTAAGGGATTTCTGGAAAAATGTAAACATTTATGAAGCCATTAAAAATATTTATTCATCCCAAGCTGATGCTTGGGATGAAATCAAAGAGACAAATATGAGAGGAGTTTGGAACAAATTGTGCCCCCGATTCACACAATTTCTCGGGTTTACAGATGATGAAATCACCGAAACCAGGCAAGGTTTGGTTGCTATTGGTAATCAACTGCAGTTGGACATCAGTGAAAATGATATCATAGAGTTACTCCACTCCCATGGCAAAGAACTAACAAATGAAGACCTTATGGAACTAGAGCGGGAGATGATAGCATTTGGTGAATAAAACCAGGACCTAGAAACTCCAAAACTGAAAAAGTTTTCTACAAAAGAGTTAGCTGATGCTTTTTGTCTCATTGAAGCAGGAATGGAAAAGTTAGAGGAGCAAGATCCTGATACAGAGAGGTTCGCAAAAATTTACCGTACAGTTACCGAAGGCCTGAGATGCTACAGGGCTATGTATGATGACAAAAAGAAAAGCTCTGTGCAAACCTCCCTTGATGCCTACTTCAAGAAACTCACTCCAGCAGCAGACTCTCTAATACCAGTGCCATCCTCTCCAACAAGTCTATCATCCTCTACGAAGATTGTTTAAGGTTGTACTGTACAGTATTTGAAAATGTTGAAGCATTTACATGCACAGGTAAACAAAATAATATGTTAAGACAAACATCTGTCCAAGTTGGATAAAAGTAGAACTCCATGAAAGTGTTACTCTTCTAGTCTTGGTCAGAACGGTACGGGTCTAGAGCCACTGCAAGGTTTCTACTGCTAACTGTATCCTCATCAGAAAGACCCAATCTCACTTTCTGTCCCTGAGACAACAGGATGTGAGAGGAAATGTTCAAAAAAATACCTGTTCATCTTGCTGGACAGATAAAAACTTCCTATGCTTCCGGCCTGTAAATGTTATCAGTTTTATTGTTCTCTGAGGGCTATATAACCACACTCTTCTATGTCATGGTCTGTAGTCCTATCTTGTTCCTGTTGTCCTGATAAAAAAGGGTGAGTGAGAGTTGTCATCCTCAGATCAGATGTATGTTAATGGAAGGATCACCAGGTGAAAGTAAAGGAAAAACAGCTTGAAAGAAAAAGTAATGCAGCCACCACATCTAAAGGTGCCCATACACCTTACAATTATCGTTCAATCTTATTTTTCCCGTCATCAGACCCTCGTTCAAGTTCTGCACAAATAGCCCATCATGCACAGAACAATGTAGATTTCGAAAATTGTTCGTCAGCAATACTAACTGGCCAAATTTCGTCGATCGAAAGAACAGATTTTCGTTTGCGCATGTGCAGTGTTTATGTTGCGATTTATTTCGTACAAAAACATCACTGATCCATCGAGTTTCTTAAGATTAAAAAAAAAATAAAGTTTTCTAGCCTGCCCGATAGACAAAATTCGGCAAGTTGTAAAGTAATTGTGATTGTTGACCTCCCATCAACTGGCCGATTATTGTATGAAAACCCGATTTAATTTGGAAATCGAACGATAATTGCAAGGCATATGGGCACCTTAAGTAAGCAGCAATATATTACATTTTTGTTACTGGGTTCAGCTATGCTTTAAGGGAAGCAATACATGTTTAAATCTCTTGTGTAGTCTGCGTTACCAAGGTTTTCTAAAACTGACTACACACCTTTCTATTATTATGTTATTCATAGAGAAAATAATAATTTTTGAAAGCAAATCTGTATCTGTCTCAGGCCACAGAAAACTGTTGCTGCATGATCGTGCAAGCACTCCCCAACACCTGCATACAAAATGACATGTTCTTTAAAAAGAGCCCTTTAGTAGAGGAAAAGGTAATCAGATCTCTGTGTGGTCACTTTGTGGCCTGCTCCTTCCTGCTCTCCTCACATCTTTACTGGCCCTATCACACTCTGATTCCCGAAAGCAAGTGAGTAGAGACAAGTAGGACAAGACTATATAATGACCAAGAAAAGACCCAGATCACTTTTTAATTATTACAGCATCAGGCAGGCTGCACTATCATGCAAGCAGAAGTTGCCTTTAGCCATGATCTTGCTCCCAGGGTTGTTACTGCATCTCTATAAAACCTGATTGTCCCAAACAATGCTCAGATCTGTGGTGTCAGTTGGTTTTATGCTAAATTGAACAGTTCATACGCTTACCACCCTATACCACCCTTTTACTCTTCTTTCCCTCATCTTTTGATAATATAAAGAATACCGAACAAGCAATAGAGTCCATTGCTCCCCATACAAGGGGCCATTTTCTGGACATTGGGTCTAAAACAATCAAATCTGCCAGATAATCTGCTTGTATATATGTAGATATGAAACAAAACAATCTGTGCCAAGTGCGTGTTCAGTCATTTTAATAGTTCCCAAAAACAAAATAGTATATACAAAACCACCAAGAACTTGTGAATTAGAAAAGATGAAGATCAGAAAACACTGTATAAAAATATATATAAAATAAATATTTAAATATCTAAATTTTGAAGCACAGACATTTTATTTAATACTATGTAAACAGTGGATTTGTTCTTTCCTGTCTATCTGGCCTGATGCTTCACATTTCAGAGTTGGGTATCACTTAATAGGTCCATATATACAATAATACAAAGTTATCTGACACTTAGCATACAATCATTGGCGAAAATAAAAAGGATTTGCTTATAACAAACTTCCACCCTCATCCCTTAATAATAATGGATGTGTGAGTTTATGGAATGGGCAGGTTTGTGTTGCCACTTGCAGAAAAGGTTAAAGAAGAATGTTGATGACTAGATCTATGTATACTATGCCTACTGTAGCAGATGTATTTAATAAGGCAGTACAAAGTGCAGTAACTATGTGCAAAGTGATTTTGTATTATGTATCACTGGCCTTTGCACACAGTCACTGCATTTTATTACCCTAATATATTTTCCAGCTCTTTACAGATGAATCTGTTAAACTAGATGTCATGCCAAAGTGTTTTATATTGTTTTGGATATATTAAGAAAGGATTGGAACCACAGTTAGGTTTTTATTGCTATTTCTGGGTCTGTAGAGAAGATTTTCCTCACTTCTGGTCCCAGACAGTGAGACAGGAAATGATCTCTCCGAATCTCCCCATGGGAACACAAGTAATAATTCAAACTTGGCAGAGGCTCTCACCCTTCTATGCCCTTCTAAAAAGTGTATTTTCCTAGCTGCAACATTGTGGACAGTTTATCTCCGTTCTATCTCAGATGACTCTAATGAACAAACCCGATAGTAAGAGGAAATCTTGAGACAGCAATAAAAACCTGATGGATATGTTCTATCACTTTACCACCCTATCCAAAATCGAAAAAGAAGTTTTGTTTAGACTTCTGGTTTTCATATCACACTATACAAATTGGGTATCCATAAGCAGCTTTACAAGTAGCATTTAAGAATCAGGAAACATATTGGCTCATAAAGCACTAGACGTATTAGTCATGGAAGTCTCAGTATACTTCCAGATTCCATCGTTGAGTAGGTCTATCTTCTGACACCTCCCACACCAAAACATGGTTAGAGTCATAGCCATTGCCACCTGTGAAACATAACACAAATATTACATTGTTAGTTTTGGTTATTACACTATAAAGTGTATGTGCACATATTTATTATAAGTGGGAATTGTGAGAAATTAAAAAAAATGTTTAGATCATGTGCAAAAGAGTTAGAACCTATGTCAAGTTTGTATTGCACTGCCCCTGTTGGAGAATTTTCCCCTCACTCTCTGTTACAGTGACAACATAGGGCGTGATGAAGGGTGGGGGGGTAGATACGAACCTGACAGAGGTTCTAACCCCTCTCCAATTTACCTGTAACTCACATAACGTTTTGACTGCAGTTTCATTTCACTGACAATTAAAGAACAATGATGGATTACAAATGACGTTGCCCATACCAATTACATTTTACCTTTCATTAGTTTAGAGTAGCAAGAACAATAAAATTAAATAGTTGCTCATTGAGTGATATGAATTGGCTCCCTTAGCATACTGTTCTACTTTGAAGATGTGTTTTCAAATTAATACTGAAGATCATACACTTTCCATATGAGCAGCACCCTCTGGTGGCTGAAGCAGGTTCTTTATTATCTTTGAAGTGTATTTCCACATTTGCAGCCAAATTGGGATAACACCGATTTTATATTTGTTACAATAAAAATATTGAAAAAAAATGCTTCTTGCAGTATAAATTGCTTTTACTTGGGTTAGGGTTTCTTGGCGTCTTAAGGGTTAAAATCTCTAGTTGCTTCTCCTTATTTGTAGTGTTAGTAGGGGCTGTGAGGGGAAACACAATCCACAAATTTCAGTCCTAAGTCTTTCTATAAGGACAGATCACTGTGAAGGTGCTCAGAAAAAACTTGGATTCAGCCATCTCTCCTGCCACAACAAAACATCTAAAAGGTAAGACTTTTTTCTAGAAATTATTTTGTATTTTTTTGCTGTCAGGTAGACAACCCAAGAAATTAAGGTTATTAAAATCTAGTAGGCATTTCTCACCTTTTATGTCTAGACACAAGCCTTTGAACAGGCAACTGACTACATAACCAGAGTCTTCCAGGGTCCAAGTTTGTACTGGTTTCCGCTCCTCAGACCAGAGAACCACCTTTGTCCCTTGGTTAGCATTACCAATTACTTGGAGACTCATGTGAGGAACCAGCTGCAAAGAAACAAAAACGTCAAGTGTGAATAAAATATAAACAGTTAAAAAAATACAGAGGAACACCCAGGAGCTACACAGTCTGGTTTGTGGGAGTTTCTTTGACCTGACACTGAACTGGGATTATCAAAATACTCTACTATTGAAAGCCTTTATTAATACATCGACTAAGAGAATGATCTTTCATGTTATGGTTATCAATGTAATACAAGCCATTTCTGATTGCTGTATAAGTTAGGAAATCAGAGAATTGTCATCTCCATACAAGATCATTGGTACCTTACTGGATATGATTTGTAAGCTTTACATTCTATATCAAATAAAGCTTAAGTTACAAAAGCTGAAACCTCTGTACCTAATTTATCTGCAATCAATTTAAGCAGAACAAGAAAAGATATGAAGGAATAATATCCTTACTCATATCATGTTTTTACCAACCTGATTCTTTATGCGTCCTTCCTCATAAAACCAAAGATCACAGCTCCCCTCCTGTGGCTCAGAGAGTTGAACCCGAGCAGCTTTCATATCTTCTGATGGCTCGGGAACACATAAGAACAGACCCAGTACACGATTCCGTATTCGTAAATACACCCTCCTCTGGAGTAATGGTACAAAATATAATTAATACATAAAAAATATGCTTTTAACCTGATATCTATTTATTTATGTTCCCTACAGATAAAGCTCATTCTATCTGTAAAGATCTTACCTGTCTGATAGGACAAAGTGATCCAATTCTCTGGAGGCCACTGTAAAGCAACCAGTTTGGAATTTGAGTGCACTCTAGTAACCACTGTCTTCCCCGGTAATCACTGTGCTCATACAGCACCCATCTGGAATCGAGCAGAAAGATAGCGTAAAAAAATGTTATATACATTATAATAGGGCAGAAGGAGAATAGCATCAATGCGTTTAAGTAATAAGTTTGTGGAGGCATGGCCATCAAACCTATATAATCTTATCCCATTTTAATACCATGGGCAAGTGCTAGGACAACCTCCACTCATTGCTTTTCCAACAGATTTTGGAATCTTTATCTGAATATTTGTGCCTACCAGGCCACAAGAGCATTTGTGAGGTCAGGTACCGATGTTGCACATTAAGAAGTTTTTAGTAGGGATGACACTAGAGTTCCTCACCTTTAAACTCATCAAACCATGTCTTTATGGGCATGGCTGTCTGTACAATTATGCTGGAGCAGAAAAGGGCCTTCTCCATACTGTTGCCACAGGGTTGGGATCGCATAGTTGTCTAAAATTTATTTGTATACTATAACATTACTGGACCCTTTAGTGGAATCACATTAACTCAATCATTTGGAGGGGTATCCACATACTTTTTGCCTTATACTGTAAATGCACACAGCTGTCCTCTGCTTGATCCCTCTCCCTTATTGTGTTTTTGCCCAGCAGGGTGGGTTAGCATGGGGACAATAGTAGCATTTTTGCTTTTCACTGACATTTTTCTGCTGTACTTATACAGCAGGTTGTGTGCATACAGCATAAAAACAGTTGTTTACTATGCTGGCCTACTCTGCATTCATTCTCCATCTGTTTTCTGAAGAAAAAAAACATTAAGGGGAGAGGGACGGAGCACAAAGTTAACTTACAGCAATTCCTAAGAAACGTGTTTGTGACATAAAAGGATATCAAGAAAAGGAAAATATGTATAATTTTAGCTCCCCTTGTCCAATGACTTACATTCCGCTTTTCACTCGTATGGACAGCACATGGTTATTGTATCCTTCTCCCTGCAGACTCCGAATTTCTGATCTGAAATTCAGCTCTTTCCCCCCGAATTTCTCCAGACCGTGTAGGGAAATGGAGGGCATAGAGAAATACTGCAAAAGAACAAGAACCAAACGTCATAAATTAATTAATAGTCACAAAAACAACTCTGAGTTCCTGTGGTCCCTTCTCAGTTTGAAAAAGTAAATATCCTGCCTATAACAGCATACAATACAAGATGTAGACTATTATCTTAGTCAGGAAAGGTTCTGTGGCCCCCTCTGTTATAGTCACTTTGTAACTATGGTCTGCTTGTGGCAAATTTGGACCCCCCTTCTCCAAAGCTATTAAAAGTGTCAATACTCACTTTTGTCCTATTATCATCTAACCAAACCAACTTTGGTGTTACGGAATCATATAAGTACATGGAAGCATGGAAGAGAAACATAGCATATAATCATACCATACAATGCTACTACTTCACTTTCCTATATGAGCCCTGTGTGTGCCAGATAAACTAGTCAGTTTTAGCAGTAGAGCAGCACTGGACAACTGTAACCTTTAACGCACCCCTTGCATTATGGGAATTAATTATTTATTTTAAGTGGTAATTTATCTTATCTATTGAACAGTCACCTTCAACTTGTGTGGAGCTTTTATGCAAATTTCTTACTAGCTTCAATTGTAAATGACTACCTATGACCTCAGTTAGTGTATTGAAGTTTAGTATAACAGCATGAGGTGAATGTTTGCTATAATATGTTAAACCATGTTAGCCATAGATAATAGCAGGGAATTCACTGCTTGTATTTTATCTGGAATTTTTATTGTCATGATTAGATATAAAATTCCTTTTAATATGTAACTAACATTTGAAAAAAAGGAAAGCATGAATGCTGTGTAATCTCTTCTCTAAAACAAAAACTCTTAGACTGATATATAGTAATTTGTTTTCTTTTTAATGTGGCTTATTGGCTTTTTTAGCAGTATAATCAGACTCAGGATTTAAAATACAAAAAATGCATTTAAGTACCTTAACTATTAACATAAATGTATTTTATTTGTGTATCACTCGGCTGTAGATCCTCAAATCATCTCTGAATTGGTGCTGACACTGTCCTTCCCTCTTGAGGATGGCTACTTCTGTTCCCCATGGGCCTTGTGTGTGTGTATAAAGTAGTCGCCGCTCCAAGCTCACTCCCGTGATGGACTGCAGACATTATTCAGTGGATACTCAGCTTTTCAATCTGCATAAATGCTAGAAAGTGTTTTGTTTTTTTTTACTGTTGGACAGAGTGAGGAAGGGTTACAACCTCCTGTGAACTTTTTATTTTCTGTCAGTGTGATTTGTGAGAATTTGAATTACTAACTAATATATGGTTGTCAGAATTGAAAGTGAGGAGAAATCTTCTTTACAGGGACATAGGCAGCAATAAAAATATTTTTCTAATACATCTAGGAAGGGTTAGGACCTATGTAATGTCTTTATTACTAACCAGGTCTCCATAATTTTCCCTAACCTCAAATGATAGGTGTCAGAAAGAGCAGGAAATTAGGGGAAATGTGGGCACACAGGCAGAACCAAAAACTTGACAAACATCAACTATTCCAGATGCTATACAAAACTAAAGAAATGGCTGGAGCTGGGCTTTAAATCTTTTTTTTTTTTCAAATGTATCTAATTACTAATTCATGAAATTGCCTAAATTGTATAACATGTATTATATGAGCATACGCACGTTTAAATTTGTGCGCAATTCTATCAAAATGTAGGATTTCTACAGTAAGATACGACAGGAAAAAAAACATTCATGAGCAGCAGAGTTGAAGTAAGTAGTATACGTACAAGAGGAACCCTCTTGAGAGAGCGTATTGTACTAAAGCCCTGACAGCCCATGGCAGTTCTTGTTGGGTAATCTCCCTCAGACAGTATGTAGTGCTCTCCACAACATTCTTCACCTTCATACAAGCTCCAGCTGTGGGAAGAATGAAGATAACCATGGTTCAACAGTTGTTTATATTTTATTTCAAATTGCCCCTTATACCGATATGAAAAAGGGCATAATTCACAGCACATGCTTCTACAGTATACTATATATTACTTTCATGTCACTTTTGACAGAACTAGTTTTACCTCTTGTAATCACGGCTCTATCTACTTAAGTAGATACAGAGGCGTGTAAACCGGTATTGCTCTAGGCCTTATATCTGTATGTGTAAGCATTTTTGTAAAACAAAGATGATTAACTGATTCTCATCTGCAGTCCAATATTTGTATTATTATACAGGATTTATATAGCGCCAACAGTTTGGACAGCGCTTTACAATATAAGGAAGACATTACAATCACAATACAATTCAAGACAAGACGGTAAGGAGGGCCCTGCCCGTGAGGGCTTACAATACACACATGTTGCTGGTATATTCACTAGAAACATTAACAATGTACATGTCAAAATGACTGCAAAAAATAGAAAGATCTATAATATCGACGCTTGATAGGATGAGAGGGATTGTCACCAACGTCAAATATTTATTTTTTAGAATGAATTCATATTTCTATAGAACCTATAGGGACCTAAAGCACTTTATCTGCTGCTGGAGCAAATGGTGAGGCAACCTTCTTGGACATACTCAGTAGAATGTCATACCAGGGCCAATTTAGACAGAAGCCAATTAACCTACCAACATGTCTTTAGAGTGTAGGAAGAAACTGGAGTACCCGGAGAAAACCCACACAATCACAGTGAGAACATGTAAATTCCTTGCAGATAGTGACCTGACCGGAACAAAGACTGAGGGCCCCAATGAAGCAGGAAAACTAACCACTATGCCACTGTGCATGCACTCAAGTATGCTTCCCTTTTCATTAAGATGTGTAAATGTAGAAATTGAATATTTACAATATTTATTAGCCATATATGATTATTTTCTGCCATTGGACATTTTAATTCACGAGACACTTGCATTACCTCTAGGGTCTATGAGGATTATGGGGTCACGACAGCACACATGAATTTTAATTTCTGTTTATAAGGTGGCATCATATGACCCCCACTCAAAGTCAATAAAAACTGTTCCTTGCACAGTAAGCATTTGAAGACACGTTGTAAAGACATGGGAACATGTGGGGGCATTACACTGGGGCAAGATTATACAGTGTGTAATAGAGTTCCATAGCATAGTCCGTGAGGCCCGGTTATGTGGCTGTGTGTCGTTTGTAAACAGAGAGTTTAAAGTGTGTGCATATATACATCATGCGGTATGAATATTGCACAATTGAGTGTGTACAGGTGCACAACACTGTGACCTATATAAAACATGTGCAGTACTTTTCAGAAGAAGCTTAAAGAAAGATGTATCATACAAGTGCTACAGATGGTTATGAAAAGCACTGTTCAATGTACAGACGACTTTGGCTTACACAAGAAGACCAATGAGGAGCTAAAAGGTGTAATCAAGAGGGGTCTATAGAGGCCACTAGAGCACAAAAAAAGAGTAAAATAGAAAGAAAAATAGAAAAAAAATGTTTTCAGTGATATCAAAGAACCAGGTGGTTTACATAAGAATCTTACATACATAATACTTTTTACTATAATAACTATTGTTTCACATAATATGACATTCTTAACCACTTCAGCTCTCTGTATACCCTTTATGGATCAGAGCAATTTTTACATTTTCATGATAGGCCTGATATTTAAGATAACAATGTAATAAATACATTGAGCATTTATCAAAACTGGAGCAGACAGAATCTAGAGCATCTGTCAATGGCAAACAATTATCTCCTCTCTTCAGTTTGTTCAGTCAAGCTTACATTTTATTCTAGATTTTGTCCAGTTTAAAAAGACACTAAACTGGCATTTCTGTTACAAAGTATGACAACAATATTTGCAAATGAAAAAAACGGAAAACGGAAAATTGTATACTTACCTATCAGTAATTTTCCTTTCCTGACGCCAATACATGGCAGCATGCAATGGATATGGCTCCGCCCCCAGCCCAATCACAGGACCAGTTATACTATAAATTAAAGCCCCCCTCCCAAGGCCACCATTCTCGTAATAAGTACTCAATGCGAAAGCCATGGGAGGGTCCTGTATGCTGCCATGTATTTATGTCAGGCAAGAAAAATTACCGATAGGTAAGTATACAATTTTCCGTTTTCCTGACACCTACATGGCAGCATACAATGGGATATAGCGAGCACACAACAAGGGACGGTAATTCTGAGATATGTATTTTATTTGAATGGTGGCCTTGGGAGATGGGCTTTAATTTATAGTATAACTGGTCCTGTGATTGGGCTTGGGGCGGAGCCATACCCATTGTATGCTGCCATGTAGGTGTCAGGAAAGGCATCTTACTCTTTAGTAAAAACTTTCTTGATTTATTCAAAAACAATATAATAGCAGCACATGTTAGATGAGAACATTCTGTTTCTCATTACAGAAATTACATTGGCGAATAACCTTATCTTGATAACATTCACTACAGCTTGGTACATTTTGGGGCAACATGTGTGCACATTAGTGCTAATTCTGATCTTATTTGATCTGTACTTTGAAAATCTATATAAGTGCAAAAAAATCTTTGTAACTTTCAGAATATATTTATAAATGTCCAACTTACTTAGGACCACACTGTGGACAAAAATAATGATTCTACATTTCTACTTTGGACGTTGGCGTAAGCGATAAGTTCTAGAAACCTTAACAAAGTATTTAGGACACATGTGTTATGTCCAGATCCTCTCTTCCTGTCGCCCAATGCTAATACTGTCAATTACAAGCTGTAAAAATGACAGCCAGCAATTGCTTTGTATTACACAGAAGGACTTGCATGTCCCATGCAAATACTGTAGGGTCTTTGTGTAAATACAATGTAACAATGTATTGTTTCATTATATATACTTATCCATTCATATGCAGCTCAAAGGTGTGACCTTTGATCTCCACATCAGTTAAAGAAACATTACCAGTAAAAAAAAAAATGTTTTTTCTTAATTAAAATGTATTCTCATGTAACCCCTTATTAACCCTTAGTCAACACTAATCAGCTCGTAATTAACCCCTTCCTCCTCTTTGCTATTATTTTTCTGTTTATTTTTTTATTTCTATTTTTTTTATAATTTGTTTTATATTCTTTTTTATTTATTTTTTTTGTTTGTTATTTTTTTCAGTGTCACATATAAAACTGAAAACATGTCTTTTTCATTTGCCAATAACTTTGCCATGTTTTGTACCAGAAACAGCAGTTTACAGATTAGAAAATAAAATGTATACTTTTTATTTAAAGTAAAACTGAAAAAAAAACTTAAACTGGTCTAAATAGGCAAAAACACACTATTTTTCCTCTTTATACATTTCTTTGTCTATAGATTACATAGAAAAATACAACAATTTTTGCAATACACTATTGCAAAAACAAAGTATAGATTGTGGCAATCTATGAATTACTTTGTTATATTTATTTATTAATGACTGACAAAGTTATCACCAACTAAATAGGCCCTTAGCGGAAATGTAAAAAAGCTGTGGTCCATAAAGGGCATACAGGTATAAGAGCTGAAGTGGGTGTTACAAAACAAGTCCAATTGAATGTGACTAACTACTGGCTAGCTAAACCATGACCTAGATAAATGAAAGCCTTCACAACAACATTTCTCACATAACTGAAAGTATGGCCTAATTTAGAGTAAAAGCTGAAGTAGATGATTTAAAAGCAAGCTGCATATCGATGTGAAGTGCTGCTTTGTAAAATGAACATTAGCGTGCCTAGGTGTGCTCCGTGAGCCTCTAGCAGCAAACAGCACATAAGTTAATTAAAATTCAGTCTTACCTTCCAACCTCTACACGACAAGACTGCATTGAGAATGATTCTGGGATCAACGAGTGATCTTCTACAAAGGTCATACATTCACCATGGAAGTTAGGCTCAGAAAATAGCTGAATCTAATGAAACAGAGTAACAATTAGGACTGTGTATCTGTGTATCAATATAAACATGTTTATCTTCGTGGCATTTAAGACTACTGAATATATTTCAACTAAATTTCAGATATGAAGATATTGTCCTAGCACACTTAAGTTAGCCTATCATGAATCAAAATAAAGTTTACTGCAAGTCACTCTAGATCTTGAATGCAGAACTTCAGGCAAATGGTAAATATACAGCTTTAATACATATATTGTTTATTGTTCTATCTACTAAAGGATTTGTACTTGTGAATTGAGTTGAGTGATCATGTTAACTGCTGATCACAGAAAGAAGTGATTGTAAGTCACTACCCTTGCAGGGATTCCTCCGTCCCCTCTGTTCTTCCAGAGCTTATTGGAGTCAGCTGTGAATCCCAACAATATTGTTGGGATTCTTTTCGCTGTCAGCAGGTAGCGGGCAATAGTAAATGTACTTCTGTGACCCAAAAGAGAAGTAAAGCAAAAAAAGAGATTCCTCCACGATGACTATAAATATAGAGGTGACAGTAGGTTTCTGATTAACTGCTGTTGATTACAAAAACCCTGCTGACTTTTTATTTCATAAAGTCCAAAAGTCTATGTGGAATTTAAGGTAGAGCCTACAGTGTTATTACATGCTGCTAGTCACAAGGGCACACAGAACACACCTTGGGAGAATACCGAAGGGTTTGTCCTCCAACCTGTAAATAAAGAACACAGGAAGTAATAAAATAAAACAGACTTCAGAAAAAAAACCATACTGTATGTATCATTACAATAAATAAACACTAGCGTTAATTTAGTACAGTTTGCAATGCTGATTAAAAATGTCTATCACACAACACAAGTACAATTGTTATTCTTTTGACCTTGAATTATGCAATTATAGATAAAGCATATTCTGTTTACGATATTCTTTGGCTACATTGCTATACAATTCAATGAGTGAACAAAAGGCACAGCAGGACAAGGCACCTGGCAACCTAAAGGACTGTTATCACACAAAAATATTTTATTCTGATTATTGTATGCAGTTTATACACGCACACTTATTTGCTTTAGCAAAAACTCTATCAAAAAAATGCAACTTTGAATTTGGGGAATACTGAAGGCATCCACATAACTACAGCTGCATCAAACAAACATTCTGTTATAGAACTCTAAAGATTAGGAACCACTGGGTTTGTGTGCAAAACAAACCTGCCACGTCAGCTATCATTGTGCCCTGCACAGAGAGGCGCATTAATAACAGCTGTCAAAAGACTGTAAAAAATAATTTGGCAGTTTAAAATAAAAGACATAAGCAGGAAATTTGTTTTTAAATGCTCTGTATTCTTAAAAACAATGTAAAATTATGAATGTAGGCCAATTAATCAGAGTTGTAGTCAAATAAATGATGCATACTGACTCTGCTAAATTTAGTCTGGGTATCTATGTATCAATTAGCTTTGATCATATAAGGTTTAAGCCATTCATCTTGCATGAATTTAAATGGAACTTCCTAGAGGGTGGTGTATAAACTCTACAGCTTAGCCCAAATAGAAAAGCTTTAAGGAACCTTCTAAATTTGAGGACTATGTTTGGACGGGAAAAAACCTTAGGAGTGACCTAACTGTCACGTTTCAGAGCACTTTAACACATATTGTTTGCTTTGGAAGGTTGTACTATATTGTGCTGTCACTATACATTTAGGCCAACACTTGAACACATGGTATGTGGCTGCAGCTTAACCATGTGCTGCCCTAAATTTGTTTTTGCAAAGCCTCCAGTAAAGAAGTTCAGATCAGATGTCTAGCATCTCATCTTGCTCTGATTGATTAGAACCCATTTACAGTAATCCAAGGTCCTGCAAATGCTGTAGTGAGGTACTACAAACAGTCTTTAGCTAAAGACAGGACATGCCAGCAATGCTTACATCATTAACACAGCAAAGCTGAGTTCAGTGGATTTTTCAACCATGTTTACATTAGAAGTTGTGGTTCAATACAGAGCTAATATCTGTTAATGGTCTGTCTCAGAGCAAATAAAATGTGAAATTGACTGGCCTCTTAAAACCCATACTCAGCAAAGCAAGTGTTTTTCTTAATTTAAAAGCCAGAAATAAAAACAACTAACATCTAACTTATTTTACTATATTTTAATGTTGTTGGCCGTTGTTTACCACAGGCACATTTTAATCTTTTTGTAGAATTAATATTTAAATTGCACATTAAGCTGGTTCTAGAAATGATCCGCTTGCTTATTTACAGCCACCCAAATCACCTGTATTTAAAAGAGAAGAAACTACTGTTGGATTTTAAAACAAGGTTTTAACCTCATAACTAACACGTCCTTGGCAATCAAATTATTAAAGCTAGTTTACGCTGCTGAGTGTGGAGTTGCTTTTTTCATCACCTATATGGATTGTTTCCATTTCTAGTCCCTGCATGAAGGGAATTTAAATAGGAGTAAGCTGTCAAGCTGTGCTCCTTCTCTCCACATTGAATGTTCCAACTTGTACTGTGAGGAATTGCATGTAAAGTGATTGCAATGTCTTGACTGTTTTTCTCTCAGCTGAATAAATAGAATTGTTATATTTTCATTATTCTGGTTGCTCTCTGATCTCACCTGTAGTACAGGCTGTACAGAGCAGATTCGACTATCATTGGCTCCCCAGTCTTCATAACTGTGATAGATTCCTTTCTCCAGAATGTACTGCTCTCCTGAGAAGTCAACATTCTCATAGGCCACCCACCTACAGTTTGAAATTACAATTTAATAAGCATCATAGGATAAAAAATAATATTGATATCAATAGTATACACTGTTTGGCAAAACATTTGTGGACACCTGATCATCACACCTACTATATGACCAAAAGTATGCAGCCCCCCTCCAAATGGTTGAGTTAAGGTGTTTCCATAGAAGGGTACTGTTGGTGCTATAGAATACACAGGGAAGGCCCTTTTTTGTTTCAGCATGACTGCGCCTTTGTGAAGAAAGCCAAGTCCATGGCTGACATGGTCTGACAAGTTTAGTGTGGAGTAACTTAAAAGGCCTGATCTCAACCCTACTGAACAAATTTGGGGTAAATTGGAATCCTTTTTGTGAGCCAGGTCTTCCTGTCCAACATTGTTACCTGACCTCATCAATGCTGTTTTAGTTTAGTTGCCACAAAAATTCCTACAGACACACTTCTAAATCCTGTGGAAAGACGCCCTAGAAGAGTGGAGCCAGTTATAGCCATAACAATGAAGTGCCCACGGTTTTGGAATGGGATGTCCAACAAGCTCATAAAGATGTGATAGTCAGATGTCCACCAACTTCTGACCGTATAGTGTAATAATATTTTTCCCTGACAAGACTCACACTCCATTCAACACATGGATGGATTCTGTTTTCGTCCCATACTGAGCTACCTCGATATCTGACAGTGCTTCATTTAGGCGTAAGCATGGACCATCTGAGCAGTCAGGTTCCTCATACAGCACTATTTCAGGCTGTGAAAAATCCTGAAAGTAAGGGCACATGTGTTTAATGGTTTTTATAGAAATAGCTATATACTGTGCGTGCGTGTGTGTGTGTATATGTGTGTGCATGTGTGTGTGTGTGTGTGTGCGTGTGTATAACAGATTATATAAAAATAGTTTCATGTATGTACATTGCATTTACAGTATCATTAACTAAAGGTATGTTCATAAATGCTATTAGCACTCTCTCTTAACTTACTGTACGAATATGTCGAAGTGATCCTAGTTCTTCAGAACATCCACCCCATATAGACCAATCTTTATATTTTCCTTCCTCCAAAAGGTATTGATGACCACGGAAACCTTCTTTTTCATATGCTACCCAACTGCAGTCACAGAAAATAAAAGCAGCCCCTTGATGTTAGCAAAGACTTCAAAAGTCTTATTTAGTTATAAGTGTATCAGTCAGTTTTATTTACTTACCACCCTCCCAGTACTCTGATGGATCCCACAGTAAGGAAGTACTCTCCTTCACTGTTTAGTTCATCCTCCAGGGAGTTCAGGTTTTTGGAGACTTCCCAAATAGGACCGTCAAACCCAGGGTATTTAAATAAGACAATCTAAAAGAGGGGAATTACATTTGCACAATTTATAATTTTAAGTGAACCTGACCCTGGACTAAATCATCTGCAAAAAAACAACAGTGTTGAAATGCAGGCATTTGAGGTACCTGCGGGTACTTGTGTTTGTCTTCAGATGGTACATGTGTTTCTATGAAGGCTCTTGGATACTAGGTCCAGGCTATACATACTAACCACCACCTGTATTTCAACTGTCAAATATCACGTGAGCCTAAGGGCCAGAGGAATCAGAGCTTAATCTCTTTTTGTTGGAGGTGAAGATATAATTCAATGTCCTAGTTTTGTAGCATGCTTAATGTAAACTGCATGTAAAGATGGGGTCTATCTCTATTAGATTAGGCGTTTATTGAACCCTATTCCTGCCAGTGGCAAAAGCAATGAGCAAACATAATAATGTAACAGTTTACCTGAGGAAGAAGGAGCAAGAAGGGGACTAACTTTTTTTTAGATCTGCACAGATATAGGGATGTATTTATAAAGTAACAGTATGACCTTACTACAGTCATACTTTTGCTTATAAAGAAAAAAATTAAAACAGCAACAAGCATTTTCGATGAATATAAAAAAGTGCTGGAAGAGGAGAGTTTCCCACTCTCTCCTCCAATTATGAAGTGTTCTCCGCAACATTATGCAAAGATCCCCATGTGGGATGCCACAGGCTCCACGCTGCTATCTGCATTTTATAAATTGCACATAAAATGCAGGCAGAGTGTGGAATAACATTATAGTGTCCATCGGAGAGTGGAGAGCGATATATGTTCTCCCTTTAGTGTTTATAGAGAGTTGTGACTAATCAGAACTTTGCAGGTGGGTAGAGGCAATAAAAGGGACTGCTAAATGTTAGGTGTTCATTGTGTGATGTTGGGAAGTTCCAGTGAGCAGTCATCTTTTCTCCTGCAATAAGGCTTATTTCAAGCACTATGTAGACCCCCTATCCTAGCAAAAAGGCCACCCATGCTCACATGGATCCAGTAAGTGAGTTTTAAGTTATAACTGGCTTCCTGTAATAAAACTGTCAGGGCTAGCATGAACTGATAACAGAGAGGGAACAATTATGCACGATGTGGACCTAATGATCTGTAGCAGCCAGGATTTAGAAGCTATCTAACGGCCAAACTGCACATACGTAGCTAATGTTTGCCTTCTAAAGAAAACAAGCTCTTTTAGGGAAGTCCAAGTTCAGGCAACGAGGGGAATTCCACCACTACCACAATTGCACTTCCTAGGCTCAATTAACTTGTTATGGTTATTCGATATAAAATGACAGCCCCTGTTATAAAAAAAAAAACAAAAAAAACAGGCACTATGTGTCAGCCTTTGCTGTTTATAGTCCATGTAATAAAAACTGAGCTGTATATAGATAAAAAGGGTATAACTGCGAACACTGCTTGGTTTACAACAATATTTTATAGATATGGTAGCAAAATATATAAAAACATTTTCAAATACACATGCAGTATAAGGTTCCTTCCAAATATTTTCAAAAACTAGGAAGAATTGAATACACACATACACTTGTGTGTCTCTAATTATACTCACCTTAGGTTCATTAGCTTTCTCCACTGTGGGGCCTCCCTACAAAAAAGACATATATTTATATTATATAGAATTATATACTGTTATAAAACTTTGCACTAATTGTAAAAGCTAAAGATACACCATGGTTGGATTGGAGGAGAAAGAGGAAGGGGAAGTGCAATGCAGAAATTACTTACAATTCGTGCAGGTTGCAAGGAACACAAGTGTGAGTCCTGCCCATTCCAAGCTTTCCGGTTTGGATACCCCCCAGGTTCTAGTATGTAAGGATCACCTTCAAAGAATGGATTGCTGTACACCAGCCAACTACGAAAAGAGAACAAAATAAGTCAGTTTTGCTCTTTAACCCACTTTATTTTATTCTTTAATATTCTACTTTTATGTACATTTATTCTGTTCTGGAATGCATGTACAGTGTTCTGCAATGCATGTGTTGCGTGTTGACACCAGTGTTAATTTTGACAGCAAATTTCGATTTAGTTTTAGTCATAGTCTTTTGACTAAAATGCCATTTAGTTTAAGTCATATTTTAGCCATCTGAATTGTTTTAGTTTTAGTCGACTCAATATCATAAGATTCTAGTCGACTAAATCTACAGTAGATTAAGTCTACTAAAATCTAGTGGGTTTAGGTAAAGAGTAATTTAGGAATTTCTCTAGAATTTCCAATCTCATTATATACTCCTGGAGTAAACATCTGCTAAACTGTTATTACTAATTGTATTAAGGTTTGAACATGCAATACAGACACAGATTTAATTGTTGTGATATATAACATGTCTTTATTTATCTTAAAATTAGATTAAACCAAGTCTTATAAAGAAACAATAATATCGAGTATTTTCAACAGAGCATCAGTAATTACATATGCATTGATTATAACAACTTGCATTTTACATTCTTCATTCTTTCAAGCAAAAGTGTAGCTCCAAAAAATTAAAATGATAAACTATATTGGCTGTAATGCCATTGCACATATTACCTATTAGCCGTCCATTCAGGATGGAACCGAAACTGGAAGTCCAAAGAGATTAGTTCTAAATAGATCTCTTCCCAAATTGTCTCTCCCTAACATTTTAGTCTACTTTTAATTAGTTGACTAAAATGTCAATATATTTTCTTTATAGTTTTAGTCATAACTTTAAGTTTTTATTTAGTTTTAGTCTAGTTTTAGTCACTGAAAAAGTGTTGTTGAATAAACTATGACGGAAATGATTAGACGACGAAATTAACACTGGTTGACACACGTTACAGTGAGATGCGTTAAATAGCACCTTTAATATGAATGGGCCAAAATGCACCACAATGCACATGAAAGTGGGGCAGACTGCATTTTTATGCAGTCCAGCACAATGAAACAGTACATGTGCATGATGCTACGTTGCAAAAATCGTTTTATCAAGAAAAAGCAAGAAAAGGCTCTGCATAGGTAAGTAGAAGATGAGTTTTACTTAAATTATGCAGTTGAAGGCGTTCCAACAGAATGACCCCAAATGTTTATGTCTCTCGATGCACCTGGATTACTAGTGCAAAATGAACATTACAGTAGCCATAGCAATGCATGTTCATTTCAACCAGAAATTTTCTGTCTCATTCTAGAAAAAAATTATAGGATATTACAGTATATGTCCTCATAGGCAGGCATTATTAGACCTTCAAAACTACTTGATCATCATATACCGATTGACACTCCACCTACAATCACCATTTGTGCTGCAGTTACTTACATTCCACTGTGCACAATGATGGATTCTGTCTTAATTGGGTGGCCATGTACACGTGAATCTGGAGTAGCTCCAATTTTTGTCACTTTATTGCCTTCTCCATTTTCTTCCATAAACAGACTTATCTGTGGAACTTGGAAATCCTAAACAAAAAGGAAACCAAATGTAGTTTAATAATTTATGATTTATTTATCCTTCTGCTTATTTTCCCCCACCATTTTGTGACTTTTTATTATAGTCCCATGGGTGGCCTCACAACAAATCCAAAAATGCAACAGATTGTTCCTAAAAATCTTACACAGAAAAGATAAATATAAAATTGGATCTCCAACATGGTTCAGTTACATGTAGCCTAGACAGCATCATGCCTTCTAGATGCATCTTGACATCGGTGCCATTAGGTTCTCTCTCTCTAATCTGTCACTCTCTGGCTGGACTGGAGATTACCAAGGCTATTCACAAAAGGGTGAAGAGTTTGGAGAAGGCAGGAGAAGTGAACAATCTAGGGCAGCATACAGTAGCTGAACTGGAAAGTGAGCTATATTGTAGAATTTTTCAAAATTAGCTATGTTGTCCTAGTAATGTTCACTTCTCCTGCCTTCTCCAAACTCTTCACCATTTGGTGAATAACCCTTTAAATCTCTTAACTACTGAGAGATTTAGCTACTAGTTGGCTGTCATCTTATTATCAGCACATTAAATTAATTTCTGCTGAATTACAAATTCATTCTAGTGGTGCAAACCCCAGAAAACTGGATGGCATGGAGCCAGAGATGCAGAGTTTTATGAAAGAGTGTACTTGTGAAACTAAGGAGGAGAGCTGGACAGAAAAGAAAGAAATAACTGTGTTAAATAGGTTATCCATAATGCATCTGGAGGGAAGGTAACTGCCATTATTGTTTTATCAATATTTACTCACTCGAACCACATGGCGCAATGAACCAATCCAAAATTTGGGCTTCTTTGTATTAGCTGCGATGTTTTGTGACGTTGCTGTGTCAGTCTCCCAAGGACAGGACAGATCAGTGTCACCTTCTGTTAGCATTACACGCTTGCCACGGAACTGTGGTTTTTCATACAGAAGCCACCTATGTAATTTAAATGTAGGCATAAATTATTTGTATCACAATTATGTCAGAGACGGAGAGAAGAAACAAATGTAGCAGAGGCAGATTGATGTAGTTATTATTCAGGCAAATGTGTTTAAATAATAGAGTGAGGGACTTATCAGACAAATAACACATTATTTTAAGACTGCACATTATTTTAAGGAGGCTGGAACCTACATGTATGATGGGCATGATTTCAGAAAGTTAAAGAGAGTGCTATTTGATCATTTTCTAGTCATGTTAGTTGATATGCCTTTTTTAATATGTTATTCTGGAGGTGGGCGTTACTAAAGCTTGAGATTGCTCATGTTCAAAAATCTGATTGCAGGCTTGCCCTCAGTATGTTACAGTGGTGGGGATTATTAAAGCAAAAATCCATGCTAAACAATTATTGTCTAAAGAGGCATGTGCATTCTTAGTTTAAACTTTGTGTCCCTTGTATATTTCCTCCAGATCTGTGCAGTAATTAGCTTCTGCACTTTGCCTGTGTGCAGCAGTTTCCTGTAATAAAGACCAGTCACGTCTGCTTTCTCTACTTGTGCAGGGTGACTGGTTTTGTATCTGCCCCCTTGAGGTTTTCTGTATGCAGCCAGATGTGGGTGGATTCAATTCGGGAACGCTCAAACCAAACAGCTGCAGTGTTTGCGGGCTATCTAAAAAATGCCCTGAACCTCTGCAACAGCCAATCAGCAACAAGGGAGGACCAGAGACATGGAATCTTATGTGGGGAGAAACTTGTTGTAATGATAGTGAGATCAAATGACCCCAAACTGTGTGGGGAATGATGGGGAAGTCATATTGAGCACAGTGCCACACTTATTTCTCCATAATTCACTTGTCACAGGAAACAACAATCAGATATAAATCTAATGTATGTGGTGGGCACAGCCCAGCTTGATAACACCTTAACACTAAACAGTACTTTTCCCAGGATCTGCAAAGCCTCAAAACACTCCATTAAGTCAGATACTCTTAATGCAGCTCTGTCGTAAAAATGTTCAAAAGCAATTCACTTCTGTCTGGTTTATTTGACCTGAAACTGCACTTTCATATAGTCCAACTACAAACTCTATTCATATTCCATAATTTGTACTGTTATGGAGTTGCATTCTTCACAAGAAGTGATTACACTAATGTTTAGGAAAATAACAATCAGATAGACACCAAGCACTATATTACAAGGAGCACAAGGCTATTACATATATTAGTTTGCTGAAGCAAAAATTTATTGGATTTATGTCATTAGGCCTCAATTGAATAGCAATATCATTCTGTTTAATAATATTTTGGTTGTTGGATGGCAAAATCTTGTTATCTAAAAATATAGATATAGTTAGCAAAGTTGACATTAGGGAAGTATCCACTGCAACACTCCCTCCCTTTAATTGGTTGTTTTATTTCTGTAAACTCTCTTTCTTTAGGGACTAAAAAAAATGGCTGCATCTGCAGTTCAGTAGCTCTGGACTACTCTGCAAACCAAGGACCAGGTGAACTTTGCTAATTACTTTTCACTTTTAATCCCATTTATTTTGCTGTTGCTAATTAAAGTTTTGTAATATCTTTTCTGAAAATATTTTCTTGGGTCATTTTTCTCTTCATGAAAACTGTATTTTTAAATAATTAAGCTGAATCCCTGATTGCTTTAAATCAGAAAAAATAGAATCCTTGCCTCTTTAAAGAAAGCTTCCTTATTCTTTATTACATTCCTCTATGGGCATGGCACATTTCTTATAGTTCAGAATTGCTACAGCAGATGCTGTGAACAGTACATGATCGGTAGGCTATCTGATAATGCCTATCTGGACGCCTGTGATGCAGGTCCTTTAAAAACACATTTAAAAACCCGCCATTGTACAGCCACCAGGCATTTGAAGTCTGGTAGTCTAGATAGTTAGGTCAGTGCTGTACTTGGGATATAGTTAAATAGGATGTTTGGTGCTGCAGGACATATACTACCTCATTTGCAGGATATTAGAACTAGAATTAGTACAGATAGGATCTGTCAGGGAGGGGCTAAGAATGTTTAGCTGTGTTTTAAACCACTCTTCCTGCTCATGCTGTGTGCTGTGGGGCTTATTCCACTACATTGGCAAATGCAGTATATAAGACCAGACATTGAGGTGTGCAACTTACACTGCCCGCTCACCATTGCAATCACCTGCAAGCCCTTCCCTCAGTGGGGAGGGCTTGCGATGATCGCAAGTACAATCTGCCTGTCCAAGATGGGCAGGCTGTACGAAATTTGAATCACCTTACAACCATCGCACAATGAAAGGCGATGGTTGTAAGGTGTGTGGGCAGCTTAAAATAGACCTGCAGGGGAGATTTGTCTGTTTAGCAGATGGAGGGAACTGTTAGTCTTCTTTGTTTAGCCTGCCAGCTTTAGTGTTACTGTTGTTAAAAAAAAAAATTAAGGACACAACTCTTGGTGGCCATTCTATTTTTCTTGCACATTCAACACTTAAAACAATATATTGCTTTCAGACAGACATAAGAAGCGGGCAGCTGCAGTAGGCATGGGGAGATAGGTGACAGGGAAATGAGATCCTTAATTAGCTGCAGCACAACCAAGTTGTAATCAGGCTTCACAGCTTACTAGTGTACTGGCTTGACTGATATTTAATTCACACGGTGTTGGCCATCCCTTTTCCTCCCAGACATGAAGCAGCCAGTAACTGATTTCTACATGCACCGCAGGGCATTTTCTACAGAAATTGCACGATATTAAAACTTAGGACAGGCAGGGTGTGTCAGGTAGGGATTAGTACTGTACAGCTGTGTTGAAAACAGCTCTTACTTTTCAATGCTTTGTGTTGTGGAGCTTTCCCATCTGCATTTACACTATGCTATACCAGGCATAGAGGAAATGAGTGCTGCAACATTTATTCAATGTTCACTCTCACCATGTCATTGCCATCTGTGGCTTATTCTACTGCAGTTGAACGACCAGGCATAGAAAAAGTGAGTGCCAAAACGGCACACAGTTTTTTCTAAGACCGCTGTCACTGTGTCATTTCTGTTTTTTTAAAAACAAAATGCTGTGGAGCTTATTCAACTGTATTTATAATGTATTTAAACCAGGCAGAAAGTAGGATTGCTAGATTTTAGAGTGTGTTTCTCACACAACTATGTGTCTAAAAAACTTACTGCTCTGGCAGTTATTTTAAAAAAACAAAGCTACGTAGTGGGCTTCCATTTGTTTCAACACATTCACTACAGTGACAAAGTGGCACTGTGACATTGCTTGTGTTGGCCTCTGTAATATGATTATCTTATTGCTGTTCAAACCAAAAAGTTTAAATATTTCTTTAAATTACAGCATTTCTTCTAAATAGTGGTAGGAGGTGGTTGAAGCAACATGGGTTTAAGGAACGGGCCAGCAGAACAACATGCAGGGGGAGGACGAGGAGGAAGTTACACAGCAGCAACATGCTGGGAGAGGAAGCAGAGTGTCAAAAACAACAGTGGCCCAAGGAAGCGGGCATCAGGTAGCAGCTGCATTATGCTGTCAAATGTAAACAGAAGTATGAAGGAACAACTGGAGCCCACTGCCTGTTCACAGGACAGTGTTACTCTTTACTGCTGTCTCTCTTCTTCTGACAAAACATTACAATATTCAAATAAATACCATAACATAAAACTTATTACATAAAATATAACAATGGAAGAAATTATAACAACATTATAAAAGATTACAACAACATTTTAAAAGTTTACAAATACAACATTATTAGAAGACATTCCACCTCCTCCCCTCCCCCCAAAAATATGGCTGAAGCCATAACTTTTTGTAGGAAGACCCCTTCATGGGCCTTTTGCCTCTGCACTGAGCCAGCGCTACTTTGGTAGTATATAAAATTTTTACAAGACAAATACTTTTTTTTTTCTTCCACTGACACTGTGACAATGCTTGTCACTCCTTTCTGCTATCTCTTTTCCTTAAGTCCAGTCTGATATATCAGAGTCACTGGCTATCATAAATGTCTCTTAGCATTCCTTCATAGTTTCTATAGAGACCTGAGCTGTGAATGCAGCCATCATTTCTGATCTCTAGAGGGCTTTTTCCCAAGGTTTTACAATCTGACAACCAACATATTATCAAGCAAAATTAAATTTCAGCAGGCTGTGTAAATCACAGTGATGATGTCACTGCTAATTTTACAAGACAATATTAGGGTTTGCAAAGGCATTTGGCACGCACAAAATTGTTTTGTTTTTTTTACCCTTGTTGCCCTTCAAGTTTAATTAAAATTTCTGTGGCCAAAGTTCACTGTTATTAAACATTTGCTGCACAATTATTTAAATATGCTTAGGATAAGGCATTTGTCAACAGGATAATCTCCTGCTACTAAAAGATTCAAATTATTGAGTGTGTAGCCTATCTCTAAATATAACCAACGACCTGCACTGTGCACTGCAATGACAAAATTGTTTGCTCTACAAGTACAATTATGCATTTAGCTGCCTCCTCTTCTGCACTGGGGCTCCAGGTATTACACTGTAATACAACCTGATCTCTCTCTCTCTGCTAGTGATGTATATTTGTGTGTATATGTAGTTGCTAGTTGCACTTACCCTCCTCGTACAATGCAGATAGAAACTGTTCCCTGCAGATCCCAATCACTCATGTTACCCACATCACTGTAGATCTCATGTCTGTGTCCCCTGAATCCAGGCTCAGAAAACAGAATGATCTGTTAATCAAAAAGTATTCCATATTACTGGGGTGGTAATATAATAGTAAAAAGAACAATGTCTAATTTAGACATTCTGCTCCTTGCTCAAGACTCTTTGGTATGACACATGACACACCAATATAAAGGAACTGATTAGACCCTTACCTTTCCTGGCCGTGGATTCTGTTTTCCATGAATTTTCTCCGGGTGATACTGAGGGTAAAAAAAAAAAAAGAAAAGCTATTACCCACCAATTTCTCATGGAAATGCCAATTAATTTTTTCCTAGCTATTTTTACACAGATTTAACAATATAACTGAAGTATAAAATAAGAAAAAATTAAAATATTATCAATATATAATACATTAACATGTTATATATTAAAATTAACCTGCAGCTATTCAAAGATCAGTTATGAATCATTATACTGTAACACATCTCACCCAGACATCCGGAAAGACTTTAAAAGGTGAAGTTACTGGTAGCTCTAGCTTGGATGGCAACTCAGTAGAATCTGAAGCTGGGACATTATTACTCTGTAGCCGTGAGCTGCACCATTTATCTTCTGGCTGCTGTGCTCTTGATGCATCGGTTAAGATGTCACTGACTTTGTTTGCTCTTGATATATTGGTTAAGATGTCACTGTCTTTTTTAGCTCCTTGTGCATTGATTAAGATTTCACTGGCTGTGTATGCTCCTGATGCATTGGTTAAGGAGTCACTTTCTGTGTTAGCCCTAGATGCACTGGTTGAGATGTCACTGGCTCTGCTTGCTCCAGATACACTGGTTAAGGAGTCACTGGTTGTGTTTGTCCCTGATGCACTGGTTAAGGAGTCTCTGGCTCTGTTTGATCCTCTTGCATTGGTTAGGGAGTCATTGGTTGTGTTTGCTCCTGATGCACTGGTTATGGAGACACTAGCTGGGTTTGCTCCAGATGCATTGATTAAGGAGTCACAGTCTGTGTTTTCCCCTGATGCACTGGTTAAGGAGACACTACTTGTGTTTGCTTCTGATGCACTGGTTAAAGAGTCACTGTCTGTGTTTTCCCCTGATGCACTGGTTAAGGAGACACTACTTGTGTTTGCTTCTGATGCATTGGTTAAAGAGTCACTGTCTGTGTTTTCCCCTGATGCACTGGTTAAGGAGACACTACTTGTGTTTGCTTCTGATGCATTGGTTAACGAGTCACTGTCTGTGTTTTCCCCTGATGCACTGGTTAAGGAGACACTACTTGTGTTTGCTTCTGATGCATTGGTTAACGAGTCACTGTCTGTGTTTTCCCCTGATGCACTGGTTAAGGAGACACTACTTGTGTTTGCTTCTGATGCATTGGTTAACGAGTCACTGTCTGTGTTTTCCCCTGATGCACTGGTTAAGGAGACACTACTTGTGTTTGCTTCTGATGCATTGGTTAATGAGTCACTGTCTGTGTTTTCCCCTGATGCATTGGTTAAGAAGTCACTGGCTGTGTTTGCTCCTGATGCATTGGTTAAGAAGTCACTGGCTGCATTTGCTCCTGATGCATTGGTTAAGAAGTCACTGGCTGTGTTTGCTCCTGATGCACTGGTTATGGAGACACTGGCTGTGTTTGCTCCTGATGCATTGGTTAAGGAGTCACTGTCAGTGTTTTCCCCTGATGCGCTGGTTGAGCAGACACTGGCTGTGTTTGCTCCTGATGCACTGGTTAAGGAGTCACTGGCTGTGTTTTCCCCTGATGCACTGGTTATGGAGACACTGGCTGTGTTTGCTCCTGATGCATTGGTTAAGGAGTCACTGTCAGTGTTTTCCCCTGATGCGCTGGTTGAGCAGACACTGGCTGTGTTTGCTCCTGATGCATTGGTTAAGGAGTCACTGTCAGTGTTTTCCCCTAATACACTGGTTGAGGAGACACTGGCTGTGTTTGCTCCTGATGCATTGGTTAAGGAGTCACTGTCTGTGTTTTCCCCTAATGCACTGGTTGAGAAGACATTGTCTGTGTTTGCTTCTGATGCACTGGTCAAGGACTCGCTGGCTGTGTGTGAATTTGTGCTATCAGTAGTGGACATGTTCTGTGACACTGTTTGTTCTGTTATCCCCTGCTGTATATCTTTTTTTGGTTTTAGGTAGCTACTAAGAAGGTAGCTACTTTCCAGTCTTGAATAAGATTTTCCCTCTGATGTCTCTGCTTTTCGATCTGCTCGGTCAAAAAGCAAAAGAGACCCAATGATAGAACTTTGTCGCTGGCTTAGACTTTGTGTGATTAAGGCTTTGTAGTTTTCGCTCCGAGAACTCTCCTCTCCAGAATGTTTTCGCATCAGTTCCATGGGTGATGACCTAACTGTTTTTTTATCTTGGCTTCTTTCCCATGAATACTTTTTAGGCAATTCTTCTGATTGCTCAGATTGTTCTGTTACTTTTGTTTCAAACACTGAATCATTTTCACTCGGAATAGCATTCACCTTCAGCTTTTCTTCTTTTTCTTGCAATTGCCAGTTTAAATCAGGCTGATCCCATTTTGCTGAACCTTGATCTTCTTTTATAGGGGGCAAATTAGTATATAAAAATTGTGGTGTGGAATGAGGCTGACGACGTGGTTTTTGGTACCTCAAAAATTCAGGAGTCTCCAGTTGTCTCAGTTTATTCACCCAGCTCTCCATATTTTCTTGAGACTCTTCCTCCTCTACACGTGGTATAGCAGTTTCCTCTATTACGGCATCACTGTCTCCTATAGGGATTTGTGGAATATCTTTTTGAGTTGGTAAATTGTCTTTTAACATAACTAATTTACACTCTTCTTGAAATGGAACCTGTATACTTGAGCCTGAAATACTTTCTATATCAACACTGATTGTGTCACTTGTAGTCTTCGTGTCTGTCAAATATGAAGTTTGTACATCTAATGGTGCTGAAGACATCATGGATGTTATTGAATTAGAGGTTTCGCTATAGTGTTTATATAAATTTTCTTGACTGTTTCTTGTGTTTAATTCAGGTAAAGGTAAATTGCTTTGTCCCTCACCGCTCTTTAAAGTGACACTGATGGTGGTCACAGTGTCTCTTAAACATGGAATTTGAACATCTAATGATTCTAAAGACATCACAGGTGCTAGGGAATTAGAGGTTTCTATAGAATGTTCATATACATTGTCTTTTATATCTATTTTTTTAAATTCAGGTAAATGCAAATTACTTTGTTCCTCAACACCTGGTAAAGCTGCACTGCTTGTGTCCCTTGTGGTCTCTTTGTCTCTCAAATATGACATGTTTACATCTAATGGTTCCAAAGATGTCACAGATGTTATGGAGTTTGCGGTTTCTTTTAGGCATTCATATACATCTTCTTGAATGTCTCTTGTGTTTAATTCAGGTAAAGGTAAATGCCTTTGTCCCTCAACACTCTGTAAAGTTACACTGATGGTGTCACTTGTGGTCATAATGTCTTTCAAACATGGACTTTGAGCATCTAATGGTTCTGAAGACATCACAGGTGCTGAGGATTTTGAGGATTCTGTAGAATGTTCATATACATTTTCTTTAATATCTATTGCTTTTATTTCAGAGACAGGTAAATGGCTTTGCTCCTCAACACCCTGTAAAGCTGCATCGATGGTGCCACTTGTGGTCTCTGTGTCTCTCAAATAAGACATTTTTACATCTAATGATTCTGAAGACATCATGGGTGCTATGGAATTAGAGGTTTCTGTAGAATTTTCATATACATTTTCTTTAATATCTATTGTCTTTAATTCAGGCAAAGGTAAATTGCTATGTTCCTCAACACCTTGTAAGGCTGCACTGCTGGTGTCACTCATGGCCTCTGTGTCTCTGAAATGTGACATTTTTACATCAAATGGTTCTGAAGACATCACAGGTTCTATGGAATTAGAAGTTTCTGTAGAATGTTCATATACATTTTCTTTAATAGATGTTGCCTTTAATTCAGGCAAAGGTAAATGGTTTTGTTCCTCAACACCCTGTAAGGCTGCACTGATGGTGTCACTCGTGGTCTCTGTGTCTCTGAAATATGACATTTTTGCATCTAATGGTTCTGAACAAATCACAGGTGCTTTGGAATTAGATGTTTCTTTATAGTGTTCATATGCATTTTCTTGAATATCTATTGTTTTTAGTTCAGGTAAAGGTAAATAGCTTTGTCCCTCAACATCCCGTGAAATTATATTGATGGTGTCACTTTTGGTTTCCATGTGTTTTAAACCTGAATTTTGTACATCTAATGGTTCTGAAGACATCACAGTTACTGTAGAAAAAGAGGTCTCTGTAGGGTGTTTATATACATTTACTTGACTGTCTGTTGTTTCTTTTTTAGGTGAAGGTAATTCCCATTGTCCCTCAACACCCTGTAAAGTTACACGTTTTTCATCTACATTTCTTGGCAGATAATCTTTTGACAAAACAGCTATTCCATGTTGACTATGTACAACATTACTAGCCAGATCTTCTATTAACACACTGTTGCTGTTGTCATGTGGTTGTTTCCTCTTAGCAGCAGTATAATCCATGGATTGTAGTACCTGGTTGTTTGTTTGGTTCACCTCATGATTTAGTCTATCAGTGGCCGGTGTCCCTGTTTCTGGAGTAGACTTTAAAGGATCTGGCTTATCATGAATCACTTCTTCATGTTGATTCTCATCCAGTGCTTCTAATCTAGCCTGGTCCGTTTTGTCTGACACCTGTTCAAGTATGTTTGCAGAAAAAATGTTTATCAAATCTTGAGGATGATTTTTCACATCTGTAGTTATGTCTATCCAATCTTCATTGTCCTGGTCATTTTCTGTTGTTCTTTCTCTTGCAAACTCTGAATCCTTGAAATCTTTAGATTTTTCCACAGTCTCATTTTCATTTTCACCGATATCCTGGTCCAATGCAGATGTCCATTTCTCACTAATATCTTTTTCTTTCTTTCTATTTGTAAGGACAATTTCTGTAATATCTCCCGGTTTTTCTAGGTAGATTTCATCAGCCTGATCCAAAGACTGCTTTATTTCTGCAATTGTACCTTGGCCACGTGTCTCTTTTCCAGTTACCTCTTGAAATGCAGCAATTGAAGAAACAGGCATTAAGCCATCAACCTGGTCAGTTTTATGTCCCGAACTCTGGTCTTCTTCCACCCACCCAAGCTTTTCAACAACACTTTCATTCACAATCTCAATATGCTCAACAGTGGTTTCTAAGTTTTTCCTCAAATATTCTTTTTCTGTATTTGCATTCACAGCGTCATCTGTAGTATATTCTGCCTTGGATTCATCTTCTTTTCTTCTTTCATCAAAATATTCTTCTTTCAGTTTCTTAAGTGGCTGGTCCCTGCATTCCACAGATGGATATACTGATACAATTGTCTCTTGCCCATTCTGTTTTTTTAAATCAGTAACGTTGTTCTTCACCCCATTATTTTCATACACAATGTTGGTATTTGAGTTGTGAATCACAAAAACAGTAGAATTTTCTTCTTGCTCCTTCTTTTTCTTCACACTCATTACATTAATTCTATCCAGCTTTATGTGATCTTCAAGATTATGGCCTCTGGTTTCTCCGGATAATAGGTTAGCAGCATTTATATTTTGATCACAGATGTCCTGAGCATCAAATGAC